CAGCATATAAGGCGGGGAAGGATAGGGAGCATTCAATTGCAAGTCCCTGACTCACTGGGTTCGTGGCGCCTGTATGCTCGTTGGGGTTCCACATGTTGGGCGGCGTGGTTTCTTGACCAACGTGCTTGTCCGTTGCCTGTCGCGGCGGCGGCGGCGGTGCGTAAAATGTGAACTGCCCAATAGTTTGTTTCCCTGAGTGCCCACTCGCGCGTCTCCACTTTCCCTCCTACCGGAAATGACCCTAAAACTGGGCGAGCCGCATCTCTGGCTCTCTGCTCTCTCTGCTTTATATCTCTCGCCCTTGGTACTTGCCGACTGACCAATATTTCCACCACAGTCCCCGTCGGCGGCCCGCTCGGCGACGGCATGCACTACGTTCCCAACCCCTGCTACGCACCCGATGGACGGTGGATGCGGAGGAGCGAGTGGCCGGAGGGGGTCAAATAGCGAAGGCTCTACTCTGCTTTCGAGAGCGAAATACATACATGTTATTATGGGGAACGAGCAGGTACCAGAAAGTGCAGCGTCACTGCTTCCTGTGCGCCGATCCAGTCGCCCAGGAGCTTCACTGTGCATTGGCTGGCGCGGGAGTGTGGCAGACGATTATACATGATTATCAACTCACTGCATACCCTTCCTTTTACTGATTTTCAAGCTTGGGAGGATACCTGGGAGATACAATGTAGTATTATATCGATACAGCAGTCGTTGACGGTGCTACATACCCCGATCAAGGGTGAGTCAAGGACATCGACAACGTTAATGCGCCAGTAGGCCGCGCACTTCCTCCTTTGACGGCGCATACTTATACCAGTCGCTCGATGATCTTCAGGGCATGAGACCATAACTTTCCTCCTCCATTTTTGCACCAACACTTACGCTGACATGCTTCCCTCTGAGAAACGTATAAACCGGAACGCGGGATTCTATTTCATTGTGATTCTGAATAGTTGTAATTACACACTATCGTACAAGGCAGCAGATCTGAGCTCCAGATTTGAGGACGAAAATCAAAGGAAAAGGGATGTAAAGAGAGAGATTCAGACTATTGATACTATGTACCGTAGATATGACAGTGATATCGAGAGAGCAGGCAAACGAGTGGGAGCTGTGTTGTGCTTCGGTAGCAGAACATATTTTGTAAAGGAGTGTGGTAGGCCAAGGCGGTGAGTGCGATGGCGATGAGCGGCTGATATTGCGGGGTCGCAGATGATGAGGGGATTTGGGAAGTGATGGGCTGTAGATCTCCACGTTGAGGCGGAGGTGAGGGGGAGCTGCGAGGGGTCGGAGAGCGTAGAGATGGTGTCGAGGATAACAATCGACACGCAAGCCGCGACGAGGCAGCTTTGTGAGTCACACGAAGGAAAGGAGTTTTGGATGGAGGGGGTGACAATGCTAAGGTTGCTAAGGTTGCGAGTATGGAAGGATTGAGGCGGAGGTCAGACGAGCTGCGAAGAATCGGAGGAGTGGAGATGGTGCCAAGGATGAAGATAGAGTATGCCGACAATCGACGCACAAGCCGTGACGAGGCAGCTGGAAAGTCATACGAAGGGAAGGGTTTTGAATGGAGGGAGAGAGGGACAACACTGAGGTTGCCAAGCTTGTAGGTATGGATGGACTACATAGCAAAATCACAGGTCAGAAAAACATCCTAACAAACGATATGATATAAGCTTACTTTGAGTTTTGGAGCGCCGGCTGGGATATGTGTAGCGTGGACGAAACTGTCATATCGGCCTCTTCGAGTTGCGTTGTGTTTTCTTTTTCGTTCCCTCCCCCTCCCCCGACCCGCACCACCCCTCCCTCCTCATCTCTCCTCCATATCGCACTTCACTACACCCTCCCCCACCTCCGACCCCTCCCTCTTCCCACACCCCGTCTGACCACTCGCGGCCCGGGATCACCCAACACCGGCGCACCCACCCTCTCCATGGCCACCGCCTTCCTCTTACCCTCCGCCTCCGAACCACCTCCCCGGTTCACTTCAACGCTGATCAACGGCACCGAGGAAGCAGCAGCACTCCTGCCCCCACCCCCAAAGTCGACGTCCAGCTTCGCCGACGCAGTGGCTTTGAAGTTCAGATTCAGCCCGATCCGCGGGAGAAATGTGGTTGGCGGGAGGGTGGAGTCGGAGAAGATGACGGGGGGAGTGGCGGCGGGTGAAGGTGAGGGTGAGAACTCGGAGGAAGATGAAGATGAGGAGAGTTCGGGCGTCCAGCTCTTCGACCAACTCGTATCGACCAGCGGCGTGCTAGAACTGGAGTTATCGGACGCCCAGGAAAGCGAGCCCTTCACGCTATCCGGCGCAAAGGAGACCGCGAGCGGGGACAACGACATCGAGAGCACACGCATTAAAGGGAAGAACGATGCACAGGCGGTGAATATGCTTGACAGGAACTGCGGGATGGATAGTGAGGGGAGTGAGAGAGACGGCAAGGAAGGGAGGGATAGAGAAGAGAGGGGAGACGGGAAATGCGTGTCATGGATGCGCGAGAGGATAGTTCGCAGAGTGACGAATCGGTGCACAAGGTCGAAGAATATCGGGTTTTGAGTTGTAGTGGCTGTATCAGGGGAGGAGAGAAGGGCGTTCAGGGTGTCGAGAAAGGCGACGGCTTGAACTAGGAAGCCGTGAATAGGCGATCGCCATTCCGGGCGTGCGGGTGCGGAAGCGGATGTTGATGTATTCTGGTCGCATGTGCCTCTGTGCAGATACAACGCCCCACCCACCAGGATGAACAGCCCCCATATCCTCCGCCGCACATGCATCGCGTATTCGGGCAGCGTCGGACGACCAAGGGGAAATCGAGAGGCGAGGCGATGGCGGAACCACGATGCAGCAGGGCCCCAGGGTCCCCACCATGCCAAGGGATGGAAAGAGGGGAAGGACTGTAAAGGATGCTGTCCGAAGAAGGGGGGGAAAGGTGGGGTATAACCGGGTGCATAGTTGTCTGTCCAGTGAGAGCGCGCATAGGCTTGGGTGTGCGCCTGCCGTGTTTGAGCGTGACCGCGGGTATGAGCCTGTTGTGCTTGAGCGTAGGCTTGGGCTTGGGCGTGAGCCTGAGCCTGAGCCTGTTGAGCTTGTGCTTGTTGAGCCTGCGCCCGTGCCTGTGCTTGCGCTTGCGCATGGGCCAACGCATTCGCGTGAGCCTGCGCTTGGGCGTGAGCCTTTGCCAGCGAGTCCACCTCCGCATGAGCGTATTCGACGGCAGAGGGAGGGTTCTGTAAATGGAAAGGCTTCCAATTCGATTTACGAGTGAACGTATCGCGGAAGCTTTCTAAGAGACTGGGATGGTATTGAGATTGGGATTGGGAATTCGATTGACGAGCAGAGAGCCACCAGCGAGAGATTGCTGTGAGTGGACCGGAGAAAGTATTCGTGCCGCCGGGCGCCGCATGAGGCTCAGACCAGGCTGAGGGGTACACTGCACCAACATGGTTATGTCGAGCGCCAGCACCGGGCGATTTGTGCCAAGGAGGAGTAGGATGAAGTCCTGCGGCCTTCGGAAGCCGACAACGACACCGTGGCAGCATTGGACGCGGCTGCGCAGAGAGATGCGCGATTATGGGGGGATTGCTGAAGAAAGGAGCCTTTGAATCGTCTCAAATAGAATTATCAGATAGTGAGTGTTGATCTAGCGGATCACGGAGAATTTAGTCAGAGTCTTTGTCCTTGAGCCGATTTTCCTAGCTGTGATGAAGGGGAGATAGGGCTGCTGAGAGGGAGGAGGGGGGAGATCAGAGATATACCATTGAGGAGGATGTGGGGGACAACGTCGACGACTGCGGCAAGGTTGCTGCTGGTTACTGGCTGGCAGTGGCTGCGATCTGTTACTGGCGGTGATCTGTTACTTGTCACAGTCACGTACGTACTGCGAAAAAATCTAGATCAGGTCGATTTCATTTCAAAATCTTTACGCCTTTGTATGTCAAGTATGGTATACGTAGCCGAATATAAATCTATGATACACGGTCAGTGTCTGTGCCTAAAGTAAGGCCCTGTAGCGCACAGTGCTAGGGAACAAAAACAAAACTTACCCTGCATCGGAATACATCAAAGGGGAGTCGAACCCCTGCCGCTTGCTATACATCACGAGACACGTCACGTGACCGCTTCTCTTTACTCAGCATTGTTCATTCTCAGTCCGCACTCCGGATCCACATGTAAATGATACAATTGTGAAGTAGTGAATCAACAAATTGGTGGAACATAACGGACCACAGTACGACACTCATTGACATACACACCGATGCCCTATGCAGAAATAAATGAGTCAAAGCGCGCTTCGTGACAACCCTAGAAATATTACGTTCGAATCAAAATCCAACCCGAAGCCCTTCATGTGCTCGCGAATGTGCAGACAGATTGTCTCGTTGAATATCTTGCGGCATTCGGTCTCCACGTCACGTGACAGCCGACGCGTTGTGAGGTTCAGAGAGATTCCATCGAAGAGAACGTCGGTAATACTCAGAACGTCAACGACTGCGGCGAGGTTGTAGTGGCTGCGATCGCCGATCCGTCACAGTCTGTTACAGTTCTGTTACCGACGGGAAGGATCGGCGAACTGTCAATCGACTCGTAAATTTTTGCCAACTCGACGAGTTGGTGAACGTAAAATCAAACTCAAACTCGATATTTTTCTGCTGTTCAACGGTGAGTCTCGCCTGAGAAGCTATCTCGATATCCATCGCAATTGTATCTTCGCAACAAGTCTATTCACAAGAACGAGAAGTGGCGACATGTCACAATGCAAGCCATGACCAAAATTCACACGCTCATTTTGCAACTCTACGCATTCATGTCTCCAACTGGACTTTCCTGTATGCTATGTAACACGTAGTTTTGACTGAGTAAGAAATCGTTCCTTCTCGGGCTACAGGTGAAGGTTTTGCGGAACATCTCCAGAGTGCCGATTGAAGTGTTGGAATTCCCAAACGGATCGCCATAAAAAAATTACTTTGAGCAACTTCATGGGAGAGAGAAGGAGCTTTGCAAAAAAACATACACTGGACGGGAGTCGAACCCGTGCCGCTTGCTACGCGTTAACTGGAAGGCAAGCATGATACCGTTTCACCACCAGTGTGTTAGCAATGATAAAATTTGATAGTACTGGTAAAGCGGATCATCTACGTCTACGTCACACAAACTACGTCACGGCAAGCCTTCGCATGTCTTCAATCATTCTTCTCCTCCAACAACCGCATTATCAGGATTGCCCTCCCACGTCGCCCATTCAATAGCTGGGAGCCATACCTGTGTGGCCGACGTCGACTCCGGGTTGCGGACACGCAAGATCTTGGCACGGCACTTGGAGCGGTGTCGCAAAGTCGCGAAATGGCCGCTCAGCTGGTGAAGATCATTGAATTTGCTGTTGCACCCGTTGCACATGAATTGCTGAAAACCAAAGTCAGCTAGAACGGTATGCGCCTGAGTGGATAACGTACAGGCGGGCCGGGGTCGGGCGAAGGTGACTGTGCACATGTCAGTGAAAGAAAATGCTTTAGCGGAAATGGAAAAGGGAACCTACCAAGTGCGACCGCTTCGACAGACCTGCCTCATTCTAGAATCAAGTCAGTAGTCACAAACTGACGACTCAATTAGCAGCCGTACCTCAGTATCAGAGTCCTCCTAGTCGCCCCATGGTCAGACGGTGTACAGAAAATACAATGCCGTTCACATACCTGTGCTTCGCGGGACCGCTTAGAAGATCCTTGAACGAACTCTTCGTTGTCTTGAACGGGTGCGTTGTCCTTGAGAGACATGTCATGAAAACAAGTGACACCGAAAACGAAGGACTAACCTTCTGCGCGGCCACCCACTCCGCGATGTCAATAGGCTTGCCAAGCTCCGCCGTCCGCTCCGCGGCGGTTTTGGGCCGCTTCTTTTTGTCGCCGGTCTTCTTTCGTGGGTTTGGCGGGCGGGGGGTGAGGATGTAGAACGTCCTCGGCCGACAAGTCCCAGGGTTTTGAAGGTGGTCGCGGATGTCGGAGTATTGCCGCTGGCAAGGACCATTGCACTTGTGAAGTTTGCGTGCGTTGTCGGCACCCGGTAATGGTACATCCTTGCAAGCGGTCAGTCAGAGAAAAAGACGAAATCTATGGGCAACAAACCACCAGATTCCACCTGAGAACCTCCCTGATACGTTCACCGTCTGCTCCGTAAGCATTATAGGAATTTTTGCTGCGACACTTGGCGTTGTTGGCAATATGTTTTCCTATATCGGCTTTGGGCATGAAGCAGCCGAGGCAATGGCCTCGTACGATGGCCGCTTTCTCCGCCTTGCGTTGGACTTTGGTGACTTTCTTGGCTGCTTTCCAGGTGACCGGAGCGGTATCAATGTCGATGTCGGTGGTATGCGTGAAATCGACGGCGGGCGCTGGGGCGGGGGGCGGGGGGGCGAGCTTGAGGTAGCGCCCCGTCTTGGTATGATTCGTAGCACCATAAATTGGGAGGCGGTGGAATTTTACCATATGCTCGAGCAGGTTGCGGGCTGTGAACTTGGTAGGACCGCACGACGGGACTGGACATTCTTGTGGTTCTTCAACCTCCTCGACCTCCGCTGCATGGTGCTCAAGGTGTTTGACAAAATCCGCAGTTCGGAGGAACCTGAATAATGTGAGCGATCCGTTTAAAGGGTAGAGATATTGGAGACATACTGATGCATTCGGATCTCAATGGGGAGCGCTGTATTGAACACGCACCAGGCACAGTGAGCAGGGGGATCTGCGACGCCGCAGCGAACATCGCCGTATAGCTCAGGGTGCGCGCCAGAGAAACCGGTGCCGAGGGTGTAGCCGACGAGAGTCTTCTCCTCATTTTCGACGATGCCAATGGGAGTGAGGTCGACCTCATGGTCCGGACGAACGCAGAACAATGCGAATAACGTGTCGTGATGTTCCCAAAGGTGATCTCGCCATGCAAGGCCGTCGCCATACAGATCAACGTGCCTAAAATAATAATTTATCGAAGTCGAAGGATGGGCGTGAGAGGAGCAGCGTACCATTCAGGGCAGATCGCACAGAAAAAGACTTGAATGGAGTGACAGATATTGAGGCCGTGTACCTGCGCGAAATGGTGCTCCCAACTGTCCGAATCTTCTTCTTCACACGGCGCTCCACTGAGCGCCCATTGGCATAGTCGGCGGGTGATGACAGAAGTCGGCGGACGACTGAGAGTAATAATATGCGCTTGAACATGAGCGACGAACTCCTCCCGCGTCGTGAATTTTTCGTTTTCTTCTGCACAACCCACCCACTCGCATCTGGCAGTGGTGAACTCATCTTCCACCAGCTTTTGGAACCCTTGCTGCCGCGCCTTCATGATACAACCGTGGATATGGGAGCCAACGGTCTGAGAGCCGGAGTTCCGAAATGCGTGCGAACTGAAGAAGGTCAGCATCGCAGGAGACTAGCCAGCGGAAGGGATTACCTGCAATCCCGCTTGCATACAGGGCATTTTTCATCCTCCGTGGGCGACTCTCCTTGGTAACAAATCGCGGCGCGGCGCCGCTCCGGATAGCCTAGGTAGGCATTGACCGACGCCTCCGTTTCGGCCGCGAGATTCAGCTCTGCGAATCGGTACAAAACATCGTTCAGTCGGACATTGGGATCGATGGCCTCAATGTCGGCCAAGAAGGAGGTCTCCATGCCGACGTTCTCCTTGCCGCCCACCAGAACGCGGGACTGAGGAACGACCACAGAGTTGCGCGTTGTATCTGCTAGAGGCTCTCGGGTCAGAGTCCTCGCTGGTGGGGCAGGAGCATCCTAAGAACAATCGTGAGTTGTTTGGTAAAGCACCAGACGCGGGAACCCACCTCTCCGCGCAGTTTGACGTCCAGCGACGCCCTCAAAGAATTCGTCTCGTGCAGCCTTGATGCGTGCGCGCGTTTCGCGGTTGATGATGGCGTCATACTTGGAGCGGAGTTCGTCGTGCTTGCGGCGACTGGAACGCAAGACGCCTTGTAAGCTGGCAAAGGTCTCGTCCGCCTCGGGTTCATCGGGGTCGATGCTTTTCAGCTCTGTCTTGGCCTTGGCGACCTCATCCTTGTACTAAAAAAAATGGGTGGGTCAGGCCGGCAACATGAGCAAAAGAAATGACACTAACCCCTTGCAGGGTCGACCTCATTACTACCAGTTCCGGCTCATTGAGCAGTTTGCCGCGCTGCTGAATTGTGAGCCGCGTCGGCGCACCCTCGTGCCACGACATTGAGTTGGCACTCTGAAAACATAAAATCAGCCCATGAATGGTAGGAGAAGGCAAGCGCAAACTTCAGCCAGCTCAATACGGGCTGTATCTTGTTGCCTGCCCCATAGCAGCCCAGCCACATCGTGGACCAGTGTGCGGTCCTGGTACGCGGTCTAAAAAAGACATCGTGATCAGAAAGAGGAAACCTAACAACTCGACGACTCACCACAAACATATGTGAGTCAGGTCCGTGATTGAGCAGTGCGTCGCGCTCCGTGTTCTTGAGATACTTGTCGAAAACGCCGGCCGCGGCGCGACGCCAGGCGTACATGGTGATGCTCACTAAATGTGTGAGATCAGAAGAGAGGTCAATTAAAGGAAGCTGAGGGACGTACGCATATAACCCAACAGAGCGCAGACCTTGCGCAAGTTTGCGTTGTGGGTGGTTGCTGAGAGAGCCTTGGTAGGCGACGTGACCCAGCCATCGTCGGGATTGTACTCATCCCGACGGAAGACGGACAAGAACTTGGCTTCGTCCTTGATGCGAAGCTCATACTTTGCCGAAGGAGGGTTCCGTGGCGATATGATCTGGCCAGCGGTGTCGACTCCGTCATCAAACACGTTATCCCGGAGAGCGAGGTACAGGAGAATGGTGACGATGCATTCGGCGCGATATCCCAAGGGACGTAACAGCGCAAACAACGTCTTGTAATGCGCGGGATCATCGCGATGCCCTTTGAGGTAGCGAAACAGAATGGCGACGGCCAAGTACGGGTGGTATGGGTCTTCAGGGTTGGGGACGACGATGAACCTGATGTCCCGCCATTGGATACCCTGATTTGAGCCTCGGTACCTGGAACTTTCGATGATAGCTCCAGGCCGCTCGCCCGACATGGCGCCGAGGATGTTGACGCCGTTGAACTGAATCGCGGCGCGGGCAGTGCGGAAGAAGGTCGAGTCTTCCAACGCGAATCGAACGAGTCGGTCCAAGTCCAACGGGGGTCGCAAGTGGCTTGGCGCGTATCTCCGTGGTGAGAGTGGTGACGGACTCTTGGAAATCAGTGGAATTGAGAAACTCGCCAATCTGGTAACGATATTGTTTCGGGACGTCCTGGTCGGCGTAGCGCCTCCAACAGGCTAGCCACGTGTACATATGGTGGGTGACTGTTCTGCGTGCTGCGATGTCCTTGATGGTACCACGTACTGCAATGGCTAAATACGAGATGAACTCTTTTGCAATGCCTGGGGGATCACAGTTACAAGGGAACAACGACGCGTATAAAAGCAAGGACGAACCAAGACTCGGCAGCTCTGCGCCCAGGACGATCTCTGCCGGGAGGTCCTTCCGCTTGGGATGATAGTCTGTAAAATCGCGCCATTTGCCCTTGATGTTGTCGTGACAGTCTATAGTGGGCTGCGTGAGGTATCGAACGTGGTGGACGTCGTCGAGACCGTTTTCGAAGATGGCGGCGAATTTGGGGTTGGCAGTCGCGTGCTGCGCGACACGGTCGGCAGCGCTCAAGATGCGAGGGAGAAGTACCATAAGGATCAAGAAAAAAAAAGGATAGTGTGGAATGAACGACACCCCAAGTGGGCGTAAAGAACAAACCTGGAGGGGGGGAGGTTGCCTTTAATACTCTTTCAAACTCAATCAAACGGAAATTGGACGAACGGTGATGTCAGCAGCGTCAGCGACGCAACCGATTTAGGCGCATCCGAGTTTTCGTTTTTTGACCATAACTTGCGCTAGAGTGGGCCGAAAAACACGATTTTTTGACCAATACGTGTCGATTGGCTTTGCGGTCATTTAGAGATGCACATTGAGGGTATGCTGGCAAGAGAGTATATGTTAGCGGACCCGAAAATCGAAGCAGCGAAAGAAGCACGTCGGGGCTGTGA